ATGCGAACTGAAATTAAAAGAGCTTGACATGACAATTTCAAATTTATCTGATTGGCGCCCAAAATTAATACCTGAAATTGCACTAAGGTGATCCTAGACTCCTGGTGCCCCCAGCATCAAATCAGAACCCTCTCTGGAGAAAGATAACCTCATTTTAGTCTTCACGTCTTTAGTGTCTTTTAGTCTTTTAGTTTTTTAGTCTTTTAGTTTTTTAGTCTTTAGTGTCAAGTGTAAAGTAGGTACAGAGCTATTTCGGGTGTACCTTCAACTTATCAACAAAATTAGAAACCTGGACAATACTTTATATACATTATATATATAGTTTACACTTTATATACACTATATATATATATATATATATAGAGAGAGAGAGAGAGAGAGAGAGAGAGAGAGAGTGTTTTTAAGGACTTTTTAGTAGTTGATTACTACTAAGCTTAATGTTGCCATTTATTTTTTTATTTTTATTTTTTATTTTTTTTCCATTTTGTCTTTTTTCGTGACCGGTAATGGGATCGCAACCCTCGGTGTTGCACCCGTACTACGACCGGCAATGGGATTGCAACCCTCAGTGTCGTGCCCGCACCGCGCTCAACCAGTGAGCGGACTGGTCTCTATATGGTATCCGAACCCTCGGTGGGAGCGCCGCCGCACTCTACCGAGTGCGCCACTAGGCCGGCCCAATGTTGCCATTTATAAAGTCATTTAGGGGATATTTTCTATGATTAGACATAAAATATCTGCATTATTGATATGAAGTAGGAAATTGGGAAGATAAGACATGAGGGGTGGCTGGATATATTTTTCTCAAGTTCTTGAGTTGAGTTTAAAGATTTTCCCTTTTTTTCCTCCTAGTAATTCCCTAGAGTATCAGTCATCTTTCTCCAGATTATTTTTCATTTTGCAGTCCGTGTTACTAGAAGATAAGTAGTTAGTTGTATTGAATCAAGTCTTGCTGTCTTGTCAAATTCCATTTTGATTTTAGAGGTAAAAAAAAAAATGACTACATTTCAGATTTGATGTAACTGTGTGTTTGGGGTGAGGAAGGGTATCTGCATTGCTTTTATGGAAAACATTCCTCGACCAGCTCTCTGAATTATTACTACACAGAGCCAGTGTTCCACTGTCTTTCACAGATTTAGAGAGGTTTGCCTTGCAATTGTGAGGTCTCCAAGCCTAAAGCTTTGTAGGAACAGTCTGCTTTATCTTTAATTGGTTTGCTGCTTCTCGAACTCCAGAAATAATATTTATTTTGCTTACAGAGTTTTGAGCCTAGTAGAATGTAGACATTTAAGCTTCTCAGATTCTATTGCTAAAGATGCTTTAAAGTTAAAGGTATATACTTCTTGATGGTCTTTTTCAGGGGTTGGGCATTTGAGAAGAGGAAAAACATAGAATGTGTGGTGTCTTTTGCCTTCTACTCGCTTTAGGTCTGCATCTAGGAACATGGACCTCACCCTTGTATGAGTGTTGTGTTGTAATGAAGTCTGTGCTAAGCTCTGCTCTTAGTCTGTGCTGTACTCACCCAACACTGGGATGTTTATTCTCTCTAATATCCTTCAGTTACTGAGTATCTTAGCTGGGCGGGTTTGGGGGGCATGTTGAGTTAAACATTGTATGGGGAACTGGTTTATGGCCTATTTGTATACCTGGCATTTGAAAAATGTTGAATGTAATGTGAAAGGAGGGTAAATAGTACCCTGCCAATATTTAAAATCCACACAGAAAAATCACAAACCAATTTATGATCTCTAGGAACATCAGTTTAGTGACACAGTGACAGAGGAACGATTTTAGGGAAGCCAAATATAGCTGCCAGCTAAGACGAGAACTAGAGATTGTGGAAATGGGCAGTCCCTTTCAAGTTTTCCATCCTGTACATGTGCCGTCATTATGAAACAGCCTGTCTCAAAGCCCTCCCTCCTTCACATCTCATCCTTACCATGAACACAGAAACCTGCGCAGAGTTTTCTTGCATTGTTTCTTTGAGGTTTTTTTAAAAAAACATATATGATTACAAAAAATCAGAAATTTGGAGGGTGTTCAGTTCAATTCTAAGGTCACTTGAACAGCTCCACAGTGTCCTCAAGGGTGTGAGCTCTTTCCGTCCTCTGTCCTGCCATCCTCAGTGTATGAGCTTTGTCTCAGGCATGTTTCCACATTGCTGTAGCATGGCTGCTGTTGTTCCAGACTTAGGAAGAGTTAGCCATTCTAGGGGTCCCCTCGAATGCTCTCCTTTGCTCAGACAGCTGCAGGGTGAGGAGCTTGATCTGGGAGAGTAGCATGGGAAAAAATACCAGGAAAACTGTTTTTTGATGACAGGTTTTAATAATATATCTTGAGTATTTGGTACAAATAAAATGACTGCATTTTTAATATGTTAATTTAAAACACCATATATGCTTAGTGATGCATCTGTGCACCAAAGCCAATGCAGTCTTGAAATATGTGAAGATTCGGGGTATGATTTATATCACTAGTTCCCTAAAAAATATGTGAGTACTTGTAGTATTCTAACTTTTGCATTTTTTAAGTGTGCATGTTGAAAGTTTCCTCCAACTCAACCCCTGCCCAGCTTATTTAATTTTTTGATCCTGATGACATATATCTCCATACCATTGCCTCAGAACATCACAGACGCACACTGAATATTGTTGACTGATTATAATGTTCACGATAGACCCTTTAGGTATAGAGTCTTTTTCTCCTCTCCTCTTTAGCTAGAAATCTGGTGAATGTTGAATTTATATCATAACTTCTGCTGTCCTTAGCCAAAACAAATCAGACACTGGGGGAGGGTGGATTGGAAGGAGGGTAACAGTGAGTTCTTCAGAGCTGTTGTCTTGAGGTCATACGTTTCTGCTCCCTTCCCCACCTGCCAGCATTTCCCTCTGGTATCCCTTCTCAGCATTAGCACAAGGGAAGAAAGTACAAATAATAGACACTGAAGTCAATGTCCTAATCAAAGTAGTAAAACTACTTTCTTACTTTTCATGGTGTGACGCTTATTCAGAACACTGTTCTATAAGATTAGCACAAAAAGTTGGCTAGCAAATATCACTTAATTGTCTACAGCTTTGATTAGTCAACTAAAATTGAAGCATTTTGGACACAGGTCTTTTTTTCTATTGTTGCTATGTGGGTAAGTAGTTTTCTCTTTTTAGTTCTAGCCAGTTTTTACTCTTAATATAAGCTGGAATCTTCTCTCTAACTGTCTTGGCTACAGAGAAACTAGGTTGTTCCATGGGCTCTGCCCATGGTTTTAGCTGACTTGATTTCTAAGCAGTTTGAAGACATTTCTTCTGGCTAAAGACATTATCTCATATGTCAACTCCAGACCAACTTCTCACTTTAAACTATTTACTGAACTTATTTCTCCAGCTGTCTCTTAGTCTTCCCATTCTGGACATCTACAACCACATTTTGTTTTATTTACAATTTAGTTTACTCCTCATTAGACATTGGTCCCTGGCCTGCCCATTCCAGACACATTCATTTTCATCTGGTTTTTTTTTTTTTGGAAAAACTGACATTTTGTGGCCCATTAAATGGTTAATAATATAAATGTATTTTGCTGTACAGTGAAGAGAGGTCTATTTATTGTATATAAATATCTAACATTTTAATTTATTAAGTAGTTTACAAATATTTGGACTTTATTTTTCCCTTTTTTTCCAAAAGATTATTGTCAGCAACCCTATCAGGGTATGTGATTTGCATGTTAAGCTTAGGCAAGCCAAGCATAATAGAAGGGTTTTATATATAAATTGGCTCTTTCAAAAGTGGTTTCCAGTTTTAAAGAGAAATTGAAAAAATTCGACTGTAATGAATTTATAATTGTGTTCAATCATTTCTCAGTACTTCTGAGTTCTTGATAGTCCTTTAACATGTCAGTTTTCCTTGGTGAACGTATATGGTATATATTTTTTAACCTACTCTTGTAATTTGGTAAGGGTAGAAAGGGTTAGAAGCCGAATCTATAATGGTATTCAGAAGATGACCACACTATGAGAGAGAGTGAACAAATATGGTGTCCTTTTTATTTCACACTCCCCAAATTAGCTGTGATGAGCTTAAGAGATTTCATTCATAAACAGAAAAAATTTAATTATTCACAGTGCTTTGGCATACTATAAAAGTCAAATTATTTGAAGTGTAATCTGTTCAGATAGCATTTAGTAAGAAAATATATCAGAAATAATCGTTTTCAGGATGTAAGTTAGATATATGTATGGAAGCAATCAAAAAGAGTAGCAGTGGGCTGCTGATTGCTTTAGAGAGAGGAAAATTCTGTTCCATTTCTAAATGTTAACAATAGCAAGAGGTAAATTCCTAGCTGGGAAGAACATTTTCCACGTCACTTCTTTGCCAGGTGTTTGACATTGTGTAGAGTCTTAGACGAGTAAGGCTTACAGCAGGCTTTTGGAACAACACACTCCAAGGACCTCTGCTTCCTGCTCTGAAAGCTTCTATTTTCAAAGCACACCAATATCAGTGGGAAAGTTCCAGTGGCCTCTTCTTAGTGCTACTTCTTAGTAAAGACCACAGTTTTTTCCCCTGAATCTGAGATAGCTACAGCAGAGCATACCTGTCTGCTGACAAAATCAATTTCACAATATTGTCAGTGAAAGAACTGCATGTTCTCTACTGTTTATGACATTAACTTTCATTTATTAAGGGGAATAAACCTTGCTTTCTTGTCCCTTTTGGCACAATTTTATGCTATAGATATAATTTACAGTCATTCTAACATTTTAAAAAATCCAAATAATATGATAGTTGCTTTGAGACTGCCCATATTTTCCCCTTTCCCTTTTTCTGTCTCCTTGACCTAGCAGCAGGAAGCCTTTGTTTGAGGTGTTCATCTGGAACAACTTTTCCACACTTGTTTTCATGTTCTGTTAGATTACAGGGCAGCAGGCCTACCTTTGAAGCTCCTTTCTCTTTTGTTTCTTTGCTGTGCACTCCAGTAATTAACTTTGTCCTTCTTTTATTTGTTCCAGTCAATCGCAGGCCACTCTGCTGAGCATCTTCTCCCAGGAGTACCAGGTTAGAAGTTTTCTCCTTTGTGAGGGTTGACAGGTGCCTAATTGAATGATGAATGTCCCTTTATTTCTTTGTAATTGAACTGCCAGCTCTCTGATTGGGTTGGAGGATGTTCTCCTTTCCACATCAAGCACCGCCTGCGTCTCAGTGGAGGCCTGCCAAGCCTACCCATCCATCTGTCTAATAACATCTAGCCTTTGCTTATTTGGTGGACCTGTAATAAATTATGCTAAACCATTATTATTCTGACAATAATAATTTCCCTGTGTTGCGTGGTTCCATGTGCTAAATGTTTGCTGACTTGCACTGTCAGTGCCGCTTTCCATTGCTGACAGAGATGATGATAAATGACCATTGCTGGAGTGGCAGAAGGCAAGAGAGGCAGAAAATGGAGTCATTTATCATGAGATGACAGGTGTCAGTCAAGTGGCAAGTCTCTATGGAATTACTTTTTGTAGTTTTCAAATAAGTTGTTCTTAAGCAATGTTCGTCCTGGTTAAAAATGGCAATTGGATTGTAAAACTAGAGTGCAGAGGACTTAGATGGAATTGAATCGAGGGAAAATTAATACAAAGGTTGAATGAGGGAACAAATTTTTCTTTGCCCTCTGCAGCCCTAAGCAAACTTATTTAGATTCAATTACCATGACCCTGTTGGCTTTTACATATATACTGTACCTTGTGGTACAGTCTGAAGACATCCCAGCCAAGCAATAGAGATTAAAATGCATAGGTTCATAGAATAGAAGGGAGAAAAGTCCTACTACCACCAAAATCCCCAAGCTATTATTCAGTTTCCCTGTGTGCTACTCACTGGGATCAAGAAATATGTCATTCTTGTTCTTGAACCTGATCTGTGACATGACTTAAAGACTTTTGTTTTGTTTTGTTTCAGAAACATATTAAAAGAACACATGCCAAACATCATACTTTGGATCCCTGTGTGCTACTCACTGGGATCAAGAAATATGTCATTCTTGTTCTTGAACCTGATCTGTGACATGACTTAAAGATTTTTGTTTTGTTTTGTTTCAGAAACATATTAAAAGAACACATGCCAAACATCATACTTTGGAAGCAATTGAAAGTTATTACCAGAGGTATGACCTTCCTGCCCCACTAGAGGGTATCATAGTACCTGTTACTTATAATAATAATTATGAATAAATTAGATTATTAAATTAATTTTCTCTATCACATCCCCAAATATTTTAAGTCTGTTATTTAAAACCTGTAGTATATTTTTGAATGACTTTTCAAATGCTTTGGTTTGTAGATCTAAAGAATATGGTAAGACTATCTTGACGTGTGTATATGTGCACATACTATAAAAGATGTGGTTATGAAATCTCAGATGGCTCCTTGAAACTTATAAGTGCATATCTTGTTTAAATGTGTATGCTTATATATACATATAAGTCCATGTATATGTGAAAGTTCTCAAACCAATATTCATTAGTGAGTTGAAAAAGTAAGATTGAATTATGATATAGTTGTATTTTGCATCACTGGTATTAGGTTAGCCATTTTAAAAATGAAAAAAGGCATGTATCAAGTATCAGGTAAGGTATATATGTATCTCCATATATCTGTATAATGTATAACTGTCACATTTTAAAGGGGCTTTTATATTTTAAAAAGAAAATCTTGGATATTAAATCAACAGTATAGGGTCCAGGGGATATTTTCACTTCAACTTAATTTATTATAAATAGTTTTCAATCTCTTGTTCTGAAACAAACAGAATCTTTAAAAGAGCTCTGATTTTTTTTTAATTAAAGTATTTCTGTTGTCATCTAATATAATTGAGTAATTTATAACACTAAATTTATGTTTTGTATTAGAAATTGTTGGTTGGTTTCTTAAATATTTCAAGGGCATACTGGAAAGGAAAACTGTTTGAAATATGCTCTTAAATTATTACACTTAAGATTGACAGATCAACCTTTCTGTGGTGAGAGTTGTTTTAGATGAATGACTTTTATGCACAAAAAATTTATGAATGAAATAAATATTTGGATAAAATATTGTTGTCATTGTTGTGTAAAGTCATTTTTTTAGAATTGAAAAGTAGATATTGAACAGAAAGGTTATTGAAATTAGATTTTTAAAAAATTATTCACTTTGCCATATGTGATAAAAGATATGTTTTTAGTAATAATGTCTGTTAAAGAAAGACACATGCACCTCATATATACACAAATGCACACTCTTGTGTCTAAGAGAATTCCGCTCTAAACAAGTCTTTGTAAAGTTTGAATTGATTTATTCAAAAGTCATAACCTCCTTGGTGTGATTAACGTTTAAAATCATAACCTAAATCATACATATAAAATTAAGAATGGCTCATAAAGTGCTGTGAAGACTGCTTTGGCACCCAGGCCCTCCAAAGAAAGCCTGAAAAGTTATTTACATGCCAAAACATACATTCTTATTTGTAAACAATGTATCCTAGTTGTCATATAAAAAATAGGATTCTATGTCCAGATTTAAAAGCAGTGTAATGTAAGCAAAGGAACATAGCGCATTTTAGAAGGAAGTGTACTTTGTTCCTAGAAATTTGGAGCTCCACAAACAGATGATAGAGCTGCCTTGTGATTCTCATTTGTTTCATTGTAAAAAAATTGTTTAATTAGATGATTTCTAAGATCTCTGCTGCTTTTTAAATATTAGTTTCACTAAAAAGTATGTTTAATTATTGAAGTACAAACATACTTCTGTTGGATTATCTGGGTAATTTAGGCCTGAAATAAAAATTTTAAGTATTGTTTACAAAATGGTGCACAGTTGAGTGGGAAATAATGAGAATGCAGAAATATATTTGTATTTCTTTAAATTTATTTGAATGTGAAAGTTAGTTATTCCAAGGAGTCACAGCATTTGAAA